CCTTCACTTGGACCTACAAAAGGAAATTAGGGGTTAGTCTTAGGAACTCAAACTAGTTTGGGTCCCTTTCTATAGGGAAAAGGATGAATCAAATTCTTTTTAGCCCAACCTGGCAGCCTATTTTTCCCTTGAACAAACTTTTTATTCTTTTGACTAGACTTTTCTTTTGCAATGCATTCACTTTTATAGTAACTAGTCTTACCATAATGTGTGCAAATTTTGTTCTCAGGAAGTTTGAGATACTTGCTTTTGGGATCCCATTTAGGTGGCAGATTCCCAAAGCCAATTCCTCTTCTATTGCTACTGTGATGTTCCTGTAGCCATGACAGTGCATCGGAGGACCTGTTCCATTTACAAGTTATGTCTAGTTCATTCTTGACCTTGCCTAGATCCTTTGTCAAAATTCTTACCTGCTCATCTTTCTTATACAACTCATCTTTTAGTTTACCTACATTTTCTTCTAGAGTGAGTTGTGTGCAATCAACTGTCTTCTTACTTGTTCCTAATTTTAGTTTAGGTTTTCAGATCTAAGTTCTAAGACATTTGATTCAAATGCATGAACCTGGTTCTTTAGTGCAGTATTTTCACTTACAGTCTCACTAACTCTAAGTTCCAGGTTCTTACACTTTGCTTTTAAAATCACACATTCCTTAGACATCTATTTTTTTTATTGTTTATATCCTCAAATTCATCAATGAAATCTAGAAGTAACTCAAATAGCCTTTCTTTAGACAAAAACTTAATCTTGTCTTTTAGATGGATTATACTTACTTCATATTCCTCATCGGATTCTCCAATTGCCATAAGTGCTTGTTCATCTTCATCTTCATCATCTGAGTCCTCATCTGAGCTTTCTCCCCAAGCAGTAACCATAGCCTTTGTTGATCCTTTGTTCTTTTTGGGATGAACATGTTCCTTCTTTCTGTTTCTTCGTTCAGCTCTTTCCTTCTTCCATTCAATTTCTCATTGAGGGCAGTTTTTGATGTGGTGATCAGTTTTCCCACAGTTGTAGCAGCCCTCATTGGTCTATTTTTCAGGAACCCTTGGTTTATTGTAGCCTCCACTTCTTGAAGAACCCTTTCCTCTCATTAGGTACTTCTTGAAGTCCTTTGTGATTATAGCCATTTCATCATCTTCTAGATCAGAACCTTTAGTGATTCTGAGTGCCAGGCTTATTTCCTTTTTGGGTGCATCCATCTTCATGGTTTGCCTTTTATGTTCATAAGTAGTGAGATTTCCAATTAGCTCATCCAGCCTAAGAGTGGCAATGTTCTTTGATTCCTGAATGGCAGTGATTTTGCTCTCCCAAGTAACTGGCAGAACCCTTGTCAAAATCTTCTCAACTATGTCTTCTTCAGAAATAATCCTTCCAAGAGACATAAGTTCATTTGTCAACATGATGAACCTTGTATACATCTCTTGGATGGTTTTCCCTTCCTTCATGGTGAAATTCTCATATTGAGAATATAGTAGTGTTCCTCTGGACCTCTTCAAAAGGAAGGGGTGATTTATGTGGTGTTCAATTTTTTGCGTGCACGGATTATGGAAGGACCTGGTTTTTCTATGTGTTCCTTATACTACTGTTGCAAAATAATAAATGCAAAAATTAAAGAACACAAGTATTTTACGTGGAAAACACCTGGCTCAAAAAGTGAAAAAATCACGACCTACTTCCCAGTAGGATTTTTCCAAAACTTTTCACTAAATCACTAAGCCAAAAAATGCATTTACAAAATACTTTTGTAAACCTAGGATTAACTCTAATCCCGTTGTGACAACTAGCCTCTAACTGCTGCGACAACTTCAAGTTAACTCTAACTTGAATACTCTGAGTACCTATTACAATTGCCTCTAGATAAAGCTGAAAGGTACAATATGAAAACACCTACTACAATTGAACTAGAATAAAAGACAGGAACTGGTTCTTCTATCTGGTTCATGTAACTTCAGGTTCGCACACTTGAATCACACACGAACTGTTTGCAAAAATGCCTTGCTATTTTGCTCTTAATTCACGTTCAACTTCTGCTTTTTTGCGTTACCTGTAGAATGAGAACATCCTGCGATTTATAGAGTTAGTAGAGTAGAAAATAACTAGAGTTCTAATGCTACTCTTCCTTGGTGGAAGAGTTCTAGTTAATCTCAACTCCTAACTCCTTCCTTATCTTGGATAATGTTCTCGTTGAATAAGGAGTCCTTCTCCTTATCAATTATGCAATTTTTTCGATCAGGAGATATTTATTATTATGCCAGATTTCGTTTATCTCTTGCATGTGTATCTCACGTGTTTTGAATCTGCCCGTGTCTATGCCTACCAGTGATGGACCTGGTTCATCCCTGAGTGCCTTTGTCAATCTTCAAAACTATCCTTTACTTGGGCCAACAAAGGTGGTCACTCCCGCTAAAGAAAAAGCAATTCTTCATTCAATTTTTGTTCAAAATTTTGATCTTACCAAGTTACCTTTCTCTAACGTTAAATAGCCAAATTTTCTCATACTTCTTTTTCTAGTTTTCTTTTTTTCTTTTATGTTGAGCTTCCAAAAGCCACCGGAGAGGGAGAATAAACAATTGATGGCTAAAGATCTTGAATAAAGCATTAATAGCTTTGCAGAGGAGAATCTTTGATTCTTTCCGAAGGTGTTCCTTATTATCAATTCTTGGCCTTTCCAACAATCAACCATGACTCAGCAGAGAAGGTGAAACGTATGGGTGTGTGACCTGCACCCCATGCCTCAAACTCGCACTGAGCGAATTAACCCATCATAAAATAACAAGTAATGGGGAATTGACGAAAATCGGTATAATCATAGACATGCAAATGAAGCTCTGTAAATCTTGCAACAAATTTTAAAATACCAACACATAGCACAATATCACATCACAAATTAATATACAACCCACATCGTATCACAAGAAGCCTCCATGGATATGTAAAAGAGTAGTAAATGCTTGGAAAATAGCTTGATTATGCAAAAGAATAAAAAATCGAGTAGGGAGAAGAGAACCCTAGCTCATAGCGCCATTACGTGGAACACTTCTCTACAACGGAAAAATAACAACAGTAGATATGGGCGCGAAACATACTCCGCAAAATCTCCTTGATCGTCTTCTAATTTCTAAAATATTCATATTTCATAAAACATGTTTCCCTGTATCAAAAGAGGAGGAAATATTTTTCAAAATTCTTTTTCAACATTATCCACCCTATTCTTCATCCCCACCAACCCCATCCATCCCACCCCAACCCCTATCCCCATACCCC